TTGAAAGAATCTTGTGTCTGGATCGTTGTTGAATAAGAAAGGTTTTAGGTTGATTTTTGAGTCCGAAAAATTTGTACTCACCAAGAGTGGGATTTATGTAGGCAAGGGATATATGAGCGATGAACTCTTTAAAATGAATGTAATGACAATTGTATCTGATTTTAATAAAAAGAACACATCTTCTGCTTATATGTTTGAGTCTTCTAATATATGGTATGTTAGATTAGGACATGTTAATTTTGATACTTTGCATAAATTAATGAATTTAGAATTATTGCCTAAATTTAATATTGATGCAAATCATAAATGTGAGGCATGTGTTGAATCAAAATTAACAAGAGCATCATTTCATAATATTGAAAGTAGTACTGAGCCTCTAGAATTAATTCATAGTGATACATGTGATTTGAAATATATTCAAACTAGAGGTGGAAAGAAATACTTTGTTACATTTGTTGATGATTGCACAAGATATTGTTATGTATATTTGCTAAGGAGTAAAGATGAAACATTAGAAAAATTTATGCACTATAAGAATGAAGTTGTGAATCAACTTGGCAAGAAGATTAAGGTAATAAGAAGTCATCGAGGTGGTGAATTTGACGTACCTTTTGATCAGTTCTGTCAAGAACATAATATTATTCGCCAAATTTTTACGTCTTATACACCTCAACAAATGGAGTTGTTGAACGTAAAAATAAAAAATTGAAAGAAATGATGAATGCAATGCTGCTTAGTTTGGGATTACCTCAGAACTTGTGGGAGGAAGCTTTACTTTCAGCAAATTATATTTTAAATAGAGTACCTCACAAAAAGTTAGACAAAACCCCTTATGAATTATAGAAAGGAAGGAGTCCTTCCTATAAACTTTTAAAAGTGTGGGGGTGTTTGGCTACAGTGATGTTTCCTATTTTCAAAAGGATTAAAATAAGACCTAAGACTATTGATTGTATATTTATTGGTTATGTAATAAATAACAGTGCATATCGTTTTCTCATGCATAATCTGATATTCCTAATATACATGTCAATAAAATCATTGAGTCAAGAAATGCATCATTTTTTGAAAATGTCTTTCCTAGTAAAAATACATGTGATGGGAGTACTCTTAAAAGAGCTCATGATAGTGCGACTAGTAATATAGACAATGAGTCTATAAATGAAGAAAGTGAAGAGACACTTAGACGTAGTAAGAGGGCAAGGACTTGGAAGTCCTATGGTCTAGATTTTCTAACATATTTGTTAGAAAATGAGTCTCAAAACTTTAATGAAGTGATGTCCACTCCTGAAACACCTATATGAAAAGAAGTTGTAAACAGTGAAATTGAATCCATCATGCAAAATCACACTTGGGAGTTGGTAAATCTTCCACCAGGGAGTAAACCATTGGGGTGTAAATGAATTTTCAAGAGAAAAATGAAAAGTGATGGATCAATTGATAAATACAAGGCTAGACTTGTATCTAAATGTTATAAACAAAATGAAGGTCTTGATTACTTTGATACATATTCTCTCGTTACGAGAATAACATCTATTCGTATGCTCATAGCTATTACAACATTGCATAATCTTGAGATACACCAAATAAATGTGAAAACAACTTTCCTAAATAGTGACTTAAATAAGGAAATTTATATGGACCAACCTGAAGGGTTTGTTTCTCCGGGACAAGAGAAGAAAGTGTGTAGACTTATTAAATCACTTTATGGTTTAAAGCAAATACCAAAATAATGACATGAAAAATTTGATAAGGTAATGATGTCAAATGATTTCACAATTAATGAATGTGATAAATGTGTCTATGTTAAAAACACAAATAATGGATATGTCATTGTTTGTCTATATGTGGATGATATACTTATTATAGGTAGTAATAATAATATTATTACAACTACCAAGAAAATATTGTCTAGTAAGTTTGACATGAAGGATTTGGGTGTTTCAAATGTTATACTAGAAATTAGAATTTCTAGAACATTTGGTGGACTTTTATTATTTCAAATACATTACATTGAGAAAATACTTGAAAAGTTTGACAAAGATGAAAGCAGCATTGCTAGAACACCAGTTGATATAAATTTTTATTTGTCTAAAAATACTGGCCAAAGCATATCACAATTGGAATACTCTCGTATTATTGAAAGTCTAATGTATGTTATGAATTGTACTATACCAGATATAACATACCCAGTTAGTAAATTGAGTATATATACAATTAATTCGGAAGTAGACTATTGGAAGACAATTATCAAGGTTTTTAGATACTTAAGATATACCCTAAAGTTTGGATTGCACTATACAAGATATCCAGCTGTACTTGAAGGGTATAGTGATACAAACTGGATATCTGATATGAAGGACACAAAATCCACAAGGGGTTATGTTTTTACACTTGGTGGTGCAGCAGTATCTTGGAAATCCTCTAAGCAAACGTGTATTGCCAAGTCTACAATGGAATCTAAATTTATTGCTTTAGATAAAGCAGGAGAGGAATCTGAGTGGCTTTGTCAATTTCTAGAGGATATGTCAATATGGTTTAAATTTGTGCCAGCAATATGTATACATTGCGATAGTCAATCTGCAATTGGTAAGACACAGAGTGACATGTATAATGATAAGTCTAGACATATACGTCGTAGACATAATATCGTTAGGCAATTGCTCTCAAATGAGATTATTTCTATTGATTATATAAACTCAAAGGATAATCTAGCAGATCCGCTTATAAAATGTTTGGCGAGAGAGCAACTAAATTTCACATCGAGGAAAATGAGATTAAAGCTTATGACACAAGAGTCACTTTAATGGCAACCCAACCTAGTTAACTGGAGATCCTAAGATCTAGGTTCAAAGGGACAACAGAATTATGCGTGATTCAAAAGAAGCACTAAGGAGATAAATTCTCCAACCTATTCCTATGATAACCTAGTGCTGCCTGCAAAGTTTATTAGGGTAACCTATGCTTTTAATGACTTTTATATCTTGGTAAATTCAAGTGGGATATTGCAGAATATTCCTAATAGGAGTCACCTATATGGGTGTGAAATGGTCGTTTCTATGAGAATTGGTAACGACTGAATTCTCTAAAGCACTCATGAAAATCAGGAGTTGTTTAGGGCCAAAAAGAACACAATTATGAGAACCAATTGTGTTAGGAAAGAGACTGTGTGAAGTCTATTCGATTTGATTTATCAAACAGTTGAATAGTTCAAGACATCACATTCACTATTTAGCCGGTAAGTTCAGTAGACTTTCACTAGGGAAGGTTCAAGGTCAAAAGCTACCTATCTCGATACACGATCTTTTGAAATATGTACTCTTTATAGTGTGTCAGCATTATTATTTGCATATTAACAACCAATTTTTCATTCATGTGGGAGATTGTTGGACAAAACAGTTTTTTAAGTGTAAAAATAGAATTTTGGCTGATTTTGAGCCTAAATTAAAGTGGGACCCGATTATTATTTTGAATAAAAATTCATGGGTTCATATTCTAATCCGTGAGGAGAAGAATGTAGTACATTCATTTGCTCAAATCGAGTAAGAAATGAATGAGAAAATAGGCTCCAAAGTGACTTTCTTGAAATGTGAAAATAAAGAAAGTGCAATGTGGGATGTGACATCAATCCCACATTGATTGAGGAAGAAATTCAACATGGGCATATATAAGCCAAGTTTATTCTATGGGATTGGGCCCTAAGGGGTACCACAGTTTTATGAGCAGAGCGAGCACCTATATACCCTCGGTTTAACCACACGCACGCGCGCTGCCCGCCCACCTTGCCACGACCCCGGCCGGGCCGAGCTCGAGTGTGGGTGTGGGTTATCCCAAGCCCTATCTTTTTTAGAGAAAATTTATTTAATTAATTAGGCGAGAATTTTTTAACCCGAAATTTAATTTCAGTACCTGTTAGATCACATTGGGTCGGGGTTTGTTGCCTCCCTCCAAACCAAATTAAATTGTGATTGTTGTGTCTTTTCATTTTGGGTTGTGTCATTTACTAAAGTGACTGTCCGAAAAGTCACTAATGTGTCTATAAATACCCAAACTCATTTCCATTAGTTTCATTAAATTAATCAATCCATTTTAGACAATAAGGCAGCATTTTCGGCATTAAGACAGTGCATTTAGAGAGTACACAACACGATTTCAATTCGTTGGACGAGCAGATTGGAGTGCTACTTCTATTCGTGTAAAAATCATTGTATCCTGGGAGGCAGATGCTCAGTTTTCATAAGCACCGTGTGTGGGGGCGAAATCTGTCTTAAGAACATAGTGTCAAACACTAGCCTTGATCTATCTAAAGTTCAATAACAGTTCATGTTCTGCAATCGGGTTAGTATTTNCATAGTGTCAAACACTAGTCTTGATCTATCTAAAGTTCAATAACAGTTCATGTTCTGCAATCGGGTTAGTATTTATTTTTTGTTTGGCAAACAGTTACATGTAACTATTTACTGTTACTGTTTCATTACCCTACTGTAACTGTTTTGTTATACTTTAGATGGTTCAAATCAAAAATTTTAATAAGTGATTTTACAATATTTGACACAGCACAGACAACAGTTCCAAGCAAATTACACTATATAGCTGCAAAACGGATCCTATGTTATTTACAATGCACCAGAAAACTCAGTATCAAATATGTCAAAGAAACTGACACCAAGTTGATTGGATACATTGACAGTGATTGGGTTGGTTCAATTGATGATCGCAAAAGCATGTTAGATTGTGTATTTTACATGGGTTCAAAACTTATCTCCTGGAGGTCTAAAAAACCAAAGACTATTGCACTGTCATTTGCCAGAGCATATCACAACTAGGGATGCAACTTGTGAAGCAATATGGCTCAGAATAATTCCTTCAGATGTGAAACAAAAAAATGAAGCTCTTACTATAATTTATTGTGGTAATTTGTCAGCAATAGCATTGAGCAAAAATCCATATATGTCATTAAAATATATATGTTTGCCAGATCTTGGCATCAATATATATATGTGTCAATAATAGTAATCATACATAGATAGACGTTCCCCACAAGAAATAAGAGAATTTTGAGAGAGCAACTCGGAGTGGAGTGCTTGTACATCATTTGTAGTGGTTTCATTTTCTAACAAAAATGGTTGATTCCAGAAAGTTTCAATTGTATCCGCATGATGAGTTTCTGATAATGAAGTGAAACTATCATCCATGATCCGCTCCATAGCACTGTTGAGCGCATAATCAGATCTTGATGATGAGAATTCACCGAAAAATGGTTCCGCTTGCAATAAGGAGGTTTCTGAAGTTTGCTGGGATGGATCAATGGCAACAACACTGTCAAGTGCCCATTCTTGATCATCTCTNGCTTGCAATAAGGAGGTTTCTGAAGTTTGCTGGGATGGATCAATGGCAACAACACTGTCAAGTGCCCATTCTTGATCATCTCTCTTTCGGCTGTCTTCAAACTGGCAAGTTCCAATGGATTGGAAATTTTCATTAGTTACTTCTAATTTTCCATTTTGCTTTGCACGTTTCTTCAGATGAGTGTGCCAGTGATTTTTTATATCATTATCGGTTCTTCCTGGTAATTTTGCAGCCATTGCTGACCATCTGTACATAAGAAGCAACATAGCAAGTGAAGAAGTACTGATTCAATCTAAAGTTGTATAATCCCATGTTCTTGGAAACATATAAAACTGTTTTAGGCCTTCACTAATAAGGACTAAATTGGTTATTATTTTTATATAAAGATATTCACAAGTTCAAGTATGCAAAATATTTTAATAAAACATTTCAATTCAATCTATATTAAAGTGGAATACAACCTTGTTTTTACAACTCTGAATAATCGTCTATAATTGATAAATTATACGTTAAATTTTGTAGTCATTTCTGTTGGTATCCCTAATCAAAGAGTTCATTCGAAATCCTATTTTATGTATTTGTATAGCCTAGTTGAGTTCAAAATTTGATTTTTCTAAAAGAGTAAAAACAATTTGGGGTGATATATTTTACAATTAACATCAATTTATATATTAACGGGTTATGACTTATAAGTCACTAACTTACCAAAAAAAGAATTAGGCACAAACTTACAAGAATTAGGTACCATATTAGTTCAATTTATCAGAGTTGCGTAGGGTTGTTAATTGAACTGAGCTACTCGAGTTTGGCTCGAGTTCGACTCGTTTTTTGGCTCGGTTTGTTTTCTAAACGGACCCGAACTTGAACAAGTTTTTAGACTTTGTTTAAGAAATAAGTCCAACATGCTCGGTTCAAATTCGATAAGTCTGACTCGTTTATGTGCAAATACTAGATTTTGATTCGTTTTTGGCTCGTTTAAGCTCAATTTATTTTCTAAACGAGTCAAACTTGAACAATTTTTTAGACTCGATTAAAAAATAAACTTTTTAGGCTTGGTTCGAGCTCGTTCACTTAACAACCCTAGAGTTGGAACATTCATATATTGTCTAATTAATAGGTTAGGAGCCAAGTAGGTCACTCACTTACACAAAAAAAAAAACAAAAACGAGGGCAATTATATTCAATTTTAAAAATTTCGAGGGGATAATGTAAAAAATTGAATATAATGATAATTTTATTATAGCATATATCACAATCTTTCCCAGAAATGAGTAAGACTGTAGATCCACCCCTGATGTTGTGGACAATTAATAGATACTTGACATGTACCCCTTCTTTTCAGATCCCCATCACAAAGAAAAAGAAAACCAAGATTTACGCCATTACTCATGTTGTAAAGAAGCAAATAATCAAGTTAGGAACAAGTAGTTCATACTTATTTCCCCGTTCGTGGTGTAATTTTATTATAATATTCTCTTCTTCTTCGCTATAGTCCCCTTTTTTCAAGTTCGGCTGGAGGTAATTCATCCATCGCAGTCTGCAACTTTTCCCACATCTAGATAAACCTGAAAGATGAATCTTTCACCTTAATGATCATATATAAAAATCAAGCATAAAATAGTGAAACAACTAAAACAGAAGCTTGAGAGAGAGAGAGAGATTGTCCTCTACCTGCATACTTGGGAAGTTTACGCCAGTTCCAATGGCCATATCTGAGGATATAATCTTTCAACTTGTTATCTTCTTCCCCGCTCCATAAACCTTTCTTCATTCCATTTTTGTTAGAACATGGTGTTCTCACCATCTTTTTGGTCTCTCCCAGTCCCCCTTTTCTCCCTCAGTTACAAGCTGTTAAAGCTTGAAGAATGAGTGGTGCTAAGCTCAGCTATTTATAGGGTAAGTTTAGATGTCCAAACCGTGGTTCACATTTTATTTTATATTTTATGGCTACCAATCAGCAGATTATTTGAAAAAGTAGGTACTTGTTAGAAATGCCATAGGTATGCTTTACAAGTAACAGTAGCCATGTTAGTTGACTACAAAAAAGTAGCTATTAGATTTAACGGTCACAACACGTTAGTATGGTAAGTGACAACAAGTTGAAAGGGAGGGAGATTGTCATCTACCTGCATACTTGGAAAATTTTGAGTTGAGACAAAACCTCCCTGCAGTGGCGGTGCCACAGTGGGGACAGTCTGTGATTTTGAAATATTTTGGGATCAACTCAAAAATATTTATTTGTGTTGAATTAAACTGATCCTATATTTAATCTCAATCTTAATAAACTTCTCTGATACATTGATTTTTTTTTTCAAATATTTTATATTAATTATGTTCTATTTAAATTATTTATTGTCCTTATAAATGATTTCTTAAAGATAATGAAAAAATATTGAATTTATTACCCTTTTAATTTGATATCAATGTTGTTTGTTATTGAATAATTTTTTGGCTTTTTTTAACAATTAAAATAATTTTATTTTGAAATAATAATATTGCAATATAACTCAAAGCACTTCCAACTGAGTATATATTCTCATAAAGCCCCACGGAGTCTATGAATAGCTTGACACACCTTTACGTATTAAAGATACTATAAATTCTCCCAAAATTTAAAAGGGACTAGGTATAAATAACTACACGATTTTTGTAGGATTATTATAGATTTTATATGTGTGATCATTTTATGTTGCCTCATTTTGTATATCGTGAGGAATATAAATTGCATGCACAATTGACTTTTTGTTTAACAAAATTATATTTTTCAAAAAATTTAAATATTAATATTTTGTAAAAAATATAATAGTATTAATAATTTAATTTATTAATGAATTTTAAATTGTCTCTATTGTAAAAAAATTAATGACTTCGTGCTGACCTCTCTACTTACAACAATAAAACTGCATATGTTCAACTCTCTTTAAAAAGCCTTGAACCATCCTTTTCTTCCCACCTATTAGTAGGATACCAACAAATTAGATATTTCCTCATTTTCCTTTCAAGTACGCAAAAACTGAGGATAAGATTGAATAATTAATTTCAATTTAATTTATAATATATAGTAATAACTAGTTATTTTTTATGCCTGAAGGTATAGAGTTATAAAAAAAAATAATTAACAATAAATAAATTTGTATTCACACTCAAAATTAAATTACAAAAGTAGAGGAGGAGAAAAGAATTTAAACACCGATTGTAGTGGGGGCAAGTGGTGGTGGGAGATGATGATGGTTGCAGTCGATGATATCGTGGGGTGGCAACGGTGATAGTGGTGGTGGAGTGGCAGGGGTGGTGGTGATAGAAGTGATGGTGGAACAGTGACGATGGTAGTAAGGTAACGGCAGAGGTGGTGATAGTAAGGGTGATAGTAGCAGTGGTAATAAATGTAAGAATAAGATAACGATGGAGGTGAATGGTGATGGTTGGGGTGGTGGGGGTGGTGATGGCGCAGTGAAGATGATGGTGGTAGGGATAGTAATGGGACAGTGGCGGTGGTGGTAGGGTGGTAGCTGTAGTGGTGGTGATAGTTATGGTGATGGTGGGGGTGGTGGTAGTGGGGATGATGGTGGTAGGGCGGTGTGGGGGTGGTGGTGGTAGAGTGACGATAGTGGTGATGGCGGTGGTGGTGGAAGGGTGGCGGCAGTGGTGGTGGTGGAAGGGTGAATGGTGGTGGTGGTGGTGGGGGTGGCGATAGTGGTGGCGATGGCGACAACAGTGGTGATGATTTTTATAGTAGAGATGGTGGTTGGGTGGTGGCAGCGATGGTGGTGGTGGTGGTGATGGTAGTGGTGGTGGTAGCGGCAATGGTGATTGTAATGTTGATGGTGGTGGAACGATTTCAAATGCCACTTTTTTTTTAAAAAAAAAAAAAGGGTAAATTATACGGACACTGCTTGACTTTTTGGTTTATTACTCAAACACCCCCTGACTTTTGACAAATGACACTCAGACCCCTTCACATTTGAAATTTGTTACATTTAGGCCCCCTATACTTGACAGACGTTAGACATGCTTACGGAATATAATGACATCAGACAAAAAATCTATTATAATTCTAATAATGCCCCCATTTGGTGAAAGTCAAAGTCTCCAAAACCATTGTACTTCAAAGTGATTATTGAAATGCCTATTTACCCTTTCCTTTTCATTTAAAAACCCATCTTCCTCTCCTAAAGCTTCTCATTCGGTAGGTGAGAGTTCTCTTATTTTTCTGTCTTCCTTTGTATCTCTTTACCTCCATATCTCTATGTCCATCTATTTTTTTTTTTTGTATACAGTTATAAATGGATAAACATATACACGTATAACAATAGTATATTTTTGCATTGTCTGTGTTAGATGTGGATGGGGTCTTACTGTTATCGTTATTGTTATCAGAAGGGGTGTTTCTGTTTTTATGTAAAAAGGTAAGGGGTGTGTCTGCCATAAGTATAATATGACTTGTATTTTGTTGTATGCAGTAACTATAGGCACAAAACATGTCATCTTCTTCCAGCAATAGATTTGGAGGTAGAAACAGAGAAGGATTTAGAGGTGGGAATAGATAAGGATTTGGAGGTGAAAACGGAGAAGGATTTGGAGGACATGAGATGTTGGATTTAAGGTTCGTTGGAATACAATGTGATTGTGAGAAGAAGGCATCAATAAGGATAGTGGAATCCTAGAAGCCAACAAAAGGGTAATTGTATTTCAATTGTGAGAAAAGGGGGTGCAGGTTCTTTGCTTGGTGTTATCCCCAGTTAACTATAATGCCTCCATGTGTTGAACATGGGTATGGACTACGACGAATTCCCAGCTCAGATAGTGGTCATAACGCCCAGGACACGCATGCACTTTTGAAGGCCCTCATTGTAGCGATGTTAGTTATTTTTGTAATACAACTATTTGATATGGTCATGTCTATGAGCAAAAACTAGAAATTCTAGTGATGTAGTCCTATATGTAATGTTAGGTTGTGTTTTGCCTATTATGTAGGTGGTGTGTATGTCCTAACTAAGCTTTTGGAGTTGTGCTAAATATGTAATGAGCTGAAATCAAGATTATGATATATGTAATGGCTTTTGGAATTTTGCTAACTATGTAGTGGCTTCAATACATTGTAATAGCATCAATACAATAGTTGTTTGTGTACATAGTACACTAATAAAAAAACTGCCATCAAAATCTCAACAAAACACCAGTAGGACTAATAAGTCAAAAAAGTCATGTGCACCATGTACATTCCTATGCTAGCTATGTGCACCATTCACAAGTCAATATCCAAAATGTCACACACAAAAGGCACCATTCACATTCCTATGCTAAGCTATGTGCACCATTCACAAGTCAATATCCAAAATGCCATACAAAAAAGGGCATCATTCACATTCCAGAAGAAGTCAGCTTCCATTTACATCTGCCCACTACCCAGTGAACAACCAAAACTAAACTGACGTGCCCCATGGCCAATCTGGCTGCTGGTGATGACCCACCCGTCGACCTTAACCCACCACCTGATCCTCCCCCTCTTGGCGCACACACTTATACTGGCAGAATAATCCACCACCCCACTACTGGCGACTTACATTACGTTAAGGAAACTCGACCCATTTCTCAATCTACCCATCATATCATCAAACTCAACCCACTTCTCACAACTAATACCATTCGTCAACCTCCTCAAGCTAAACACCAAACTGGCCGAAACCCAACACAATCTGGTGCTTCAAAACCAGTCATACCCACCACCCATAATTCTTGGACCCGACCTCCCGGTTCTGGCCCTGACCTGACTTGACTACCAAAGTCATTCATAGATGTATTGAGGGGATCTACCACCTTTGGCTCCGATGCACCCACTCGTCGAGTTCCTCGCCTCATCACACAATACAGGGGTGCCCCAATGGTTGACTTTTTGGACGAGCAAATTAAGAGTCTCGCAGTTCCTTTCAGATTGGCCCTGGTGGACAAGTTTACCCGAGGTCGCTCTCCGATGGAAATGATCAGGAGATTCCTACAACTGATTGGATTGAGGGGCAGTTTAGTGCCTCTTTGTTAGATAACCGACATGTGTTCCTGATGTGCGACCTTGAGGAGGATTACATCCGTCCCTGGGTGAAGCAGGCTTGGTCATTTTATGGCAAAGAGATGCGCATGTTCAATTGGACTCCACAATTTCGTTGTACCAAGGAGTCACCCATAGTTCCTATCTAGGTTTCATTCTCATATTTACCAGTACACTTTGTGTGCTCCCAAGATGCATTATTCTCAATAGCCTCGACAATTGGGACGCCTTTACAGGTTTATCAGGCCACAGTGAGTTTAAGCAGGCCTTCAGTTGCCAGGGTGTTGGTTGAGTATGATGTCACATGGCGGCGGGTGTCGAGGATTAGGATAGGCAAAGAGGAGACCGGATTTTGGTAGGATGTATTTTACGAGGATGTACCACAGTATTGTACTGGGTGTCGACATTTAGGCCATTCAATGGAGACTTGCATCACCCACTCCCAGCCTCGAGAGGAGGTTAATGGGGACCGGCAACAGCAGGGTCGAGGTGATGGCCAACAGAGGACTAGACCACAGTAGGGTACACCNGAGGTCGCTCTCCGATGGAAATGATCAGGAGATTCCTACAACTGATTGGATTGAGGGGCAGGTTAGTGCCTCTTTGTTAGATAACCGACATGTGTTCCTGATGTGCGACCTGAGGAGGATTACATCCGTCCCTGGGTGAAGCAGGCTTGGTCATTTTATGGCAAAGAGATGCGCATGTTCAATTGGACTCCACAATTTCGTTGTACCAAGGAGTCACCCATAGTTCCTATC